TTGATCCCTTCCTGAGGGTTGGCATTGGTAGCCAGGCACTATCTAGCTCTTCTGGTCTCAAGGGCCATTCGTGTCCTAGGGCTGATTGCTTCCAATTTTGCTTCCTATTTTCTTTTGGTTTTCTGATTTACATCACCCATATAATCATCTAACAGATACATGCTGTTGTTAGTTGCCCTCAAGTTGATCCAAATTCATGGTGACCACATGTGCCTGGGACAGAAATGCACTTATAGGTGTTTCAAGGTTGTGAACTTTCAGAAGCAGACAGCCAGGCCTGTCTTCTGAGATACCTCTGGATGGTATCTTTCAGCTATTGTCAAGAGCGTAACCATTTATACTACCCAGGAACTCAGATTTGTTGTTGTGTGCTGTCGAGTTGGACATGACTCATAGCGACCCCTTCCTTGGGTTTCTGAGGCAGTATCATTATGGAAGTGGGTTTGAACCACCAGCCTTCTGGTTAGCAGTCAAGTGCCTTAGCCACTATGCTACCAGAGCTCCTCAGGAGCTCAGATACATGCTATAAATTAGAAAATATGGGTCTAGAATAAAGATCGATAGCACTACTAGTAATTCAGAACTACTAGTAAAACTAAAATGTAATCCCTGACACTATGCCTACATTAATAACAATCTTTTTGACCAAGTATTATTCAATGGTTAAACTCTGAGGGTGTTTAAACAATACCAACTTATTGAAGACAGAATCAAGGAAGTTAAGATGTGGGGAAAGACTAGTAAGCATCACAATGGATAACCAAAAATTTACTCATTGCAAATTGTTGTTGTATGTTACCCTGTTGATTCTGACTTGTAGCAGCCCTACATGACAGAGTAAAACTGCCCCATAGGGTTTGCCAGGCTGTAACTTTTATGGGAGCAGATTGCCAGGTCTTTTCTCCTGCAGACCTTCCAGTTAGCAGCTGAGTGCTTAACCACTGTGCCACCAAGGCTCCTTCATAGCAAATATGAAATTTCATGTTTCTCTTTGGTGGCTATTTCAATAGTTGGAGAAAATGGCCAAAATGAAGACTGCTAAATTAAGAAATGCATCATTTTAATTTAAAAAAAAAAAAGAAAAAAGTCAAGAAACCAAAAAAAATGTTATCTTAAAAAAAAAAAAACCACAAACCTTAGAAAAACAAATATTCAGCACAATACCTTGCTTCCTTTAAGAATTTAGCTCTCCTGTAACAGGACAAAGTTCTCCTGACCAGAAATCAGAAACTGAGTTACAAAAGCTAAGTGTCTATACTAGGACACGGCTTATAGGTACTATGGGATACTTAATCTCTTTAAGAGCTCCTCACTCATGGCAGGGATTACACTAGCCAGGCCCAAGTCCTTTCTCCTTGAGCCATGGATTATTTCCATTCAGGTCTAGAAGGGCAATGCTTTCTCAAACTCCTGAACCCCCCACACTAAAACGTGAACTTTCCAGATGGTCCTTGTTTAAAATGACTTTACCAATCAATATAGCACTGTGTACCTTTTTAGAACAGTGACCTCCAATTTGTTGTGGCAGATCAAAGAATGAAAGCTGTACAAACAAGATCTAAGCACCAAGTGGCATAAATACAGGACAGAAAGTTTATGGATTAAGCCTCCTCTTTTCTCTAGACCCAAAGGTCCTTAAGGAGGCAAATTCTGAAGTTCAGAAGTGACCAAGGCCACTGAACAATTTGTGTAGAAACTGGCAAATGGGAACCTAACTTCCTGTGCAAATTTTCACCAAAAAATCAATAAAATATAATTTAAAAAGATACCATGACTTAGGTTA